ACCTTATTGAAGTCAGTAGGAACTTCAGAGCCTTCCCAAACTAACATAAAGCAGCTGCATAAGCCAGGAAACACAATACATTCCTGTAACATCATTAAGAAATTTTATCCTTAAACAAAAAAACACACACCAAAAAAAAGTTAAAAGAAAGAAGCTTTTAGAATGAAACACAGTTAACCCAGCTGCTTGCTCTAACCCAGTGTGATCATGTTATGTTGCAAAATCAATCTCCAGCAATGGCTAAAAGGTACGAGGAAAAGCATAAACAAAGCACGTAGAACTGACACTTCTACTACACACTTGCAGCTCTCAGCATTTCACTGTGGAAATCCTAAGCCCAAAGCCTGTCTAGATTCCCCTATTTAATATTTACCAATGAAATTGTACTTCACAAAGTCGCTGTATCTTTTTTCCTCCCACTCACGATTAAGGCCTCTGCAGCACCTCATGCTCTACAGCACAAATTCTACAATTTCCTTCTTCACTGGAAAAAAAAAACCCAAAACCCAAAACCCTCTTTCATGTTAAACTCTGATCTGTGATCAATTCACCTATGAGAAACAAAAATAGTTGCTTTCTATTAAACTTTTTGCTTACTTAGATTTTCTTCAAATGGCCGCCATTCTGTGCCTTTGCTGACAGATTACGCTTTATGAGCTTGGGGACCATTCAAGCTATGGGTGCTCCATGGATGCACTACAATAGCCTTTTATGTTTTAAACTGGTGCTAAATTCCCTTTTTATTTCCACAATCCCCAAAATTCTGTTTCTCTTTTTAATCCCACCAGCACCGAGAGGATGTTTGCAGACTCACAATGACTCTCAAATCGAGCAGTAACAGCCTCCTGTGGTATATGCATGGCTTCACTCAGCTTCACAATTACTATCATTTTGCATTCATCAACCCTGACTTTCATGTGAATTTACTGCCTCGATACCCATGGTGGGATCTTTCTCCTTATTTGAGATGTCTATAGCATAATCTCCTGTGTCTGAGCTAGATATCTTAATTCCTTTTATACCCATAATGTCTTTCAGACAGCATTTAAAATAGGACAGATGACTCACACCACTAAAATATGTGCGTCTCTCCAGCAACTCTCTAAAGTGAATCTTAAGAATCAGTTGATATAAGTTTCACAATGTTAGAAAAATCCCAGCGTTGTATTTTGAAATTCTACAATTTATAATGACCTCTATTTTTGACAGTTCTGAATCAGTATGTAACAGTAACAAATTGTCACAAAGTATCCCTTCCTTCACACGGTTTATGTATGTGTTGAACAGAAGAGATTCCTGATGAATCCACTGTAATCTCCTTTTATAATAAAAAATAACCATTTAATCTCGCCCTGTTTTCTTCTTAAAGATTGCCATTATACTTCCGTTCCTCAGGACAAATAAAGATATACACTCAGCAGTTCATAGTTCAGCATGTCACACCCAATTTCTTACAGACCACTTAAGTGAGGACCATTTGGTTTTAGTCATTTGTTATTATTCATCTCAAATTCAAATTTCTTTTTAAAATAATGGATTTCTCTAAATTTGAGCTAAAATTCATTTTACTGACACTGTTAACTTGAGACAGTTTTTCACTTATTCCCTGTAAATAATGGCTCATGCAAAAGAATTGCTCTGACCTTATTTATAGAGGATATTAATGCAAATAGTTCATTAGTTCTTCTGGCATGCACTTACCTTTCCTAAATACTCTAATTACACCTTGATCAGGTTTTTTCAACACCACATTCCTGCAGGCTTCTTGCTTCCAATGAGTTTAACTCCTAGTTTTATGCTTTTCACAAACTCAAAATAATTATTTAAAGTAATTCCCTCTAGAGAATTTTTAAGTCTTTCTCATCAAAGCTTACTTCTAAGCCTGTTCTTTTCCATTCTCCTTACTTGGACATGACAAGTACTTTTTAAATAATGGCTGGGTTCTGGATTTGATTTTTCTTTTAACCTCCAGATGCTCTTTATTCTTCTGTTCACCCACCCTTGGATTTATTTTTAAATAAAAGCAATTAAATAAAGTTTTATCCCATTTTGGGAAGGTGTTCACTCCCTTAGAATGTTTTCACCAGTGGCATACATGTGCAATTAGCACTGAGTACTAGAGAGTCCCTCACAACCTGCAAGTATTTCCTCTTTACATACTTACTTTAAACTCCCACTAAATAGACTCCACATTTCCTCATAATTCCCTCTTTATAGGAGTTGCATTTATATGCAATTTATATTGCATTTTCCTCTACTATATGGATGAAAAGTTCAGTTGCCAAATTTGACCCTCATTTGTACAGAATCTTTATTTTTAAAACAGCTACATACCGAGCCAGGCCATTTCTGCACCATTCCTAAACAGATCCAATTTCACCATTGTCCTAGAAATCCTCACAGTGCAAGTAACTAAAATCTTTGAGGAACTGGCTGCAGGTACAAGAATGCTAACCAAAGATGTTATGCATACAGGACTTGGTTTTCTATTTTCTTCAAATTTAATAATTACAGCTCAAATCTTCAATAGGTACAGACGATAGAATGGGAGATGTGGAGCCACAGAAAGGAAGTAACGGGATATTCAGTCCAATCCCCAATTAACATAACTATCTATAAACCAAAAGCAGAGAGAAATACCAGGTAAGGAGGTAGCATGACAGCTTCCAAATTGCTAAAGGCCAAGAAAGGCTGCATCATTGGAAATGTGACCTGTTCTTAGACTCTTTCTCCTAAGTACTCACTGTTGTACACAGAATACTGGGCTGAGTGAATCTCTCATATAGCTGCTCTTGCATTAAGTGTCTCAGTCATCAAGAACTTTGAAAATTCACAGCATTTCAAAATTGAATAGAAAAAAACAGAACAAAAAAAATTACAAAGAAAAATTATCAGAATTTCCCCTTTGAAGACTTACAAAACTAAATAATATAGAAATCTTTGATGTTCTTTCAAGTTTGCTAGTCTTCCTTGCATTAATAATTACTTAATATAATGTCAAAAATACAAAAACTAAACCAAGGATGACTGAACATGCTCTGACAATCTAAATGTTATTTCCAGTTTGAAGTGAAGAAACTTGGAATCAATAAATACATGAACACACAAGCAATACTTTTCACAAAGTTTAGGAATTTCAGGGGCAAGCCAAGTACATTACAGTATAAATGCACGCATGTTTCTCAGAAAAGTCCAAATGGCCTTTCATTTGAATTTGGAAAAATCCAGGCAAAAAAAATATTTCTCTTTGTGAGAGCGCTCTCCACTATGTCCTCATATGGACACTGCAAACATTTGCTATTACCAAACTCAGGAAGCTCAAATTAGCCTGCTTTTATTTTTACAGCTCTGAAAAGAATCAGAGTACAAAAAGCAATACTGTAAACTGTTCAGTGGAAGCAGTCACACAAAAACATCAGACTAAACACAAGAAAAATTGAGCGCATTAATTACAATTTCAGAAAGACATGTTAATATTGATTTACAAGCTCACCTTTGATGCCCAGATTTGAGTTAAAGACTTTTTTTTTAAATTCCATTCCACTTACGTTTTAATATAGGCATTCATACACATACATCCCAAACACCATTTATCACAAAAATTACTTCTAAAGAAAATATTTAATGGAGACAACACAGTACAAGATGAATAAGGCGTTTGAGAAAATGATAACCGTTTCTCTTTGTTATGCTTATTATCATATGATGTGAACAATACAAAGTTCTACTGTGTCCTTACATTTTCATTTACTTGTAAATGTTTGCATGACAGATATGCTAGTTAATTATAGTTAACAGTTTGCACTATTACACAGGTTTTGAAGCAAAGGTTTATGTGTTTAGGGTTGGGTTTTTTTGGAAAGGAAGGTAAAGAAGGAAAGAAAATACTTAGAACAAGATGTGTTTATTTAACTGGACCCCAAGGGCATAATTTTTTTGACTATGCCAGTGGGAGACAATGAGAACTTCTACCAGGGCAGCTGAGTGAGAAGATGCATAAAGCACACTACTTTCTAAAGTTCTGGTAATCTCTTCAGAAGAACTTCCTGCCAGGTGCTTTATAGCATCAGGTTAAGTATTTTCCACTGGGCACTATCATGGCTTTTCCAATTCTTTCAAGTATCACCTGAAGAAGGAGAATTTTAAAAAGAAAAAAAAACAACAACCAAAAACCAAGCAAAACCTAGTCTCTATTATTTTGTTTGCCTTCTAAATAAATGGAAAAACAAATTTTGTTTGTGATGATACTAATTCCATGCTAACAAGCTTTTTCAAAACCTGCTCATTGGTGCACAAAATACTGGAGTGGTAACCTAGTAAAATTTGAAGCATGCTAGAGAAACTGTATGTCGTAGCTATTGGAAATCACCTCTGTCAAACACTTCCACATCAAGCACAGAAAGTATCCTTTATTATCCAGTTTGGATACAGAAAATAATCATTCCATTTGGACTGCAGTATGTGTCTGTCAGCTGGCCGCTCTTTTAAGTGGAATCACTCATGGAATCATAACATATAAATCTGCGTGGCCTGTGAACATAAATTATCTCATGGACATGATGATGGAATTTCAGGTAATTTGCTTCAAATCTCATTGATTCTTGCAACTTCTAGATGGAAGAGAAGTTCTAAACACTAAGAAAATGCTGCTTCATCATTGCTAATTTGGGGAAAAGCTGCTTTGTTAGGCATAAGTAACCAATTAAGGTACAACACACTGTAAAAGCGTTCGCCTCAAAAGCGTCCAATTCTATAGGTAGAGGAACAGCAAAATCACTTCTGTGAAGGAACCGAACGCACCACATTTCCTGCATGCATGCAGGTTTCCGGCACTTTGATAACATCTACCAGGACCATCTTACAACAGACTTGATTACTACTCAAGACAATCACAATTCTCAACCAAAAGCAACAGACCTAGAGCACTGAGGTCTCACGTCCTCCCTGAAACTTCTAATAATAAAATGCTTAATTAAAAAGCCATACACACGACACCTTACCTTTGACGCCATACGCATGAACAGTGAGTTTTGATCCTCTGCTGTTCTCATCTTCTCATTTTTGACCAAATCTTTCAGGTTCATACTATCATCATCCTGAAAATACCTTACTCTTTCTTTACCTATATGAGTAGGGACCTGGAAATAAAGATATTGAAAATAAATATTAACCTAGTGAGAAAGAACAACTATAAAATTCAGATCCTAATAATTTCAACAAGTTCAAGGATCAAACTAAGCCCATCTGAAATAACTGGGCTTGCTGCTTCATTTGACCTAAGGAAAAGAACATCTTCCCCTTTCTTCAGTTGCATCAGTAGGTCTTAAATAAAAATGTCGCCTCTTCCCACAATCGCTATATCCTTCTTATCCTTAAGCTATCAGAGCTACAACATTACTCAGGAAAGATGTACAGTAATTCACTGAAACAGTTAATCAGCTCAAAGATGGAATATTCCAAGAAGTAATCTTCATTATTTACAGAAGCTTTTGAATTGTCAAGTCACAGACACTACTGAAACACGGCAATCACAGACACTACTGAGAAACTTGTATAAATGTAGTACCTCTGCTGGGAAATGTTGTCATCTTAGACAGAGTGCACAAGAGAATACAGTTTGTCCTTTAGGACAGGACTAAACTAAATCCTGAAGGAGCACAGGGAATGGTCATTAACATAAAGCAAGATGGCATTTTCCAAAATGGAAACAACAGGAACATGACAACCAATTCCTCACCCTCTTGTGCCTTCCACTCCTCCACAGCAGTGTTACAAACTGATCTGTCCTACTAATCAAGAACATACTTGCAAGAAATATGAGGTATTGTCATCTCCTCTTATACCAAGATCAAAATATTAGTTTATTTACTGTTGCAAGCAAATATCATAAGAATAAAACACTGCTCCAGCCTCCAAGCTTCTCACTGTTCCACAAAGCACTTTATTACAAAGATTAGGTCATAATTTTTACTATCAGCACTAGCAGTATTTTTGATCAGGAGAGAAGAAAAGGAAAATTAGCCCGAGACCCGAGTATGTCAGTAAAATTTTCCTTATTTTGGAAATACTCACCTCCGCTAATCTTCATTATTTACATAAAGTTATGTAATATAAACTACTTGGCTAAGAGACTGCGATATTTTGAAAAACTTACTTTTCCTTGAATGTGCATTTAAATAAGCCCTAAAGAGATCTCTAGGGAAATGCAGACTGAAAATAAACTTAATATATGCTCAATAAATATGTACTCTAATACTTAATTATAATCATCTTCTGAAAGCAACTTTTTAACTACCTACTGACATTCTGATAAGACACTCATATTAATTAGGGTATCATAAAACTACAAAATCATTTCAGAATTACACTTTAACACTCTCAATTGCAAAACTTACCATCTGTTGCTTTCTCCGTCCTCCTTTTGGCTCCTGTGGTTCAGTTGGTGCGGTCACAGGCCATGCCCTTCCACTTCGATCTGTTCTGACAAGGACCACTTGTTCATCTTCTTGACGGCTTGAAGCCTGTGTCAGGTTTTAAGATATATTTTAGAACAGATGATACAGACAAAACCAAAAGAAACACCTAACCCACACTAAATAAATGTTTAAAATACTAAATATTAAATAACAGATTCTCTACACTTTGCGTGTTCATTATAATTCAAAGCAGACAGTATTACCTTACACAAGGTATTCTTTTCCACATTCAGAAAGAACAGAATATTAAAAATACATTCAGCTAGTTAAGTGTAGAGTTAACAAATTCTTTCCAAAAAGAACTAAGTTTGTATTCTTGGTTCTTTCTCATAAAGCTTCACCCCCAGAAGAAATACAATGCTTCTGAAGACTTAAATAGATAACATCGATATACACCACCATCACTGTAATGCTGTATTCCTGAAAACCATCTGAAAAGCCGCAGCACATTACCACTTCAGGGCTTTCTGTGGATTGGGGGTGTTGGGGATTTTTTTTGTTTGGTGTATTTTTTTCCTTTCAAAACTTGGCTAACAAACTAGCCAAAACATTAGCTATTGCTTTTCAACATATTCCATTAGGTCACACTTTTCTTTCCTACACTGCACCTACCACCACTACAGATCACTTTTATCACAATGTAATACTGAAAATATTTTAATCTTGATTCTAGGATATGCAGAATAGAAGATACAAACAGATGAAGAAGAAATACATGAGTAGATGTACAATGATTATTTAGGTCAAATCAAATTACAGACTGAGGCAGAAATTACAATGTTTAAACCATGAGTTTGTGTGTTGAAATATATGGAAACAAAACCAAGCATTTACCTGATACATGCCAAATAAGCCATTTGCCTTTGGATGGCAAACACATTCAGTCTCACATAAACTACATTTGTACTTAATTACTGTTTCTACATACCAAAAGAAATTTGGGAATCATAGAATCATAGAATGGTTTGGGTTGGAAGGAACCTCAAAGATCATCTAGTTCCAACCCCCCTGCTGCGGGCAGGGACACCCTCCACTAGACCACATTGCCCAAAGCCTCATCCAACCTGGTCTTAAACACTTCCAGGGATGGGGCATCCACAACCTCTCTGGGCAACCTGTTCCAGTGCCTCAGCACACTCACAGTCAAGAATTTCTTTCTAACATCTAATCTAAATTGACCCTCCTTCAGCTCGAACCCATTACCCCTTGTCCTGTCACTACACTCCCTCATAAACAGTCCCTCTCCAGCTTTCCTGTAGGCCCCTTTCAGATACTGGTAAACCGCAATTAGATCCTCCTGGAGCCGCCTTTTCTCCAGGCTGAACAACCCCAACTCTCTCAGCTTGTCCTCACAGGAGACGTGCTCCAGCCCTCCAATCAGCTTCATGAATCATGAGGAGGATATATTCCAAACCTAACTAAATCGAGCTCTTGAGGTGCTGAAGATGTGAGGTAAGAGACACACACAGGCAACAAGGGAAGCTTTTACACACTTACCCTTGCCCTCATGGTGGAACAGAACCACCAGTTCAACTGCTGGAAGAGCGCCAGTAGGGCACAAGCAATGCAGATTTCAAATACATTGAGGACAAGTATTAACACAAATGCTGAACAAACTGACCAGGAGTGTTGCTCTACTGAATTTTCTACTCATAAATTTGAAAAAACAGTCTAATCAGGGACATGGAAGTCAGCAGCTGCCTGGGCTGCAGCAACCATGAGATACTGGAGTTTAAGATTCTAAGAGAAATGAGGAAGGCAAGTAACAGAACAAAAAACCCCCTGGATTACAGGAAAATGGACTTCAGTTTATTCAGAGGTCTGCTTGGCTGGATCTCACGGGAGATGGTCATGAACGACAAAGGTGCCCAAGAGAGTTGGATGGTCTTCAAGGACAACCTCCACAGAGGATGAGAAGGGTCCATTTGATCCACAATTTGGCTAAACAGGGAACTTCTAATGAAGCTCAAAAACAAAAAGGGTGCTTACAGAAGGTGGAACCTGAGACAAGTTACCCAGGAGGAACACAGAAGCACTTTCCAGGCATGCAGGGATAGAATTAGGAAAAACCATATCTGAAGCTGAAATTAGCAAGAGATGCAAAGGACAAAAAGAAGGGATTCTATAAGCATACCGGATATCCTCCTACAAACAAGGACAACACATGTCCACTTCTGAAAGAGAGGAAAGATCTGGTGACAAAGGACAGGAAAGAGGCTAAGACACTCAATACCTTGCCAGTCTCTACCAGCAAGGTCTACTGTCGAGCTTCTCAGGCCCCAGTGCCTAGCAGTAGAGTTTGGAGGAAGGAAGTACGACCTGCAGGAAAGAAGGATCAACTTAAGGACCACTTAGGCAAACTGGAAATACACTGGTTTATGAATCTAGATGGGAAGCATATATTAAGCTGGACAAGAGATCTCTCCCTATCACACCTGAAAAGTAGTGGTAATTGGTGGATGCCACTGGAAAAAGTTAAATGTATAGTGTCACCTTCAAAAAGATGAAGAAGAAACACCTGGGGAACAACAGGATGACCACCCTCACCCCAGTCCCCAGAAAAATTACAGAGAAAATCCTCGTGGAAGCCCCTTTCAAGCACAAGAACAACAGCAAGGTGACTGGGAACAACCAACATGGATTTGCAAATGGCAAATTATGCCTGATAAATCTGCCCTCTGCAGCGAGATGACTGGTTCAGTGCACAAGGGTATTACTGGGGATGTTGTTTACCTTGAAGTTTGCAGGTTTTCAATGCAGTCTCACAGTATTTTTGTTGCCAAATTGGAGGGATGCATAGACTGCAAGATGGGTGGGAAATTGTCTGGATTACCACATTCAAAGAGTAGTTGTCAATACGTCCAAGTCTAACTGGCACTCCTCATATTTTAACTAGCACATTGCTACAGATGCCATTCCTCAGGGATTGATAGAGGGATCAAGACAACTTCAACACCCTGGACAATGGAACAGAATGCGCTCTCAAGTTTGTTGAGACACCAAATAGGTGGGATGGGGACATGCTTGATAGGCTTGAGGGTAGGGTTACCATTCAGAGGGAACTCAACAAATTGAAAAAATAGGCTGACAGGAACCTCAATCAAATGCTAAGTCTTGTACCTGGGGACAAACTCATGCATTGGCAAAGGCTGAAGACAGACTAGGGGGCAACTCTGTAGAAAAAAAGACTTGGGATCCTTGGTTGACAGTAAGTCAAAAAATGAGTTTGTGAGCCAGCTAATCACATCCTGAGCTGTGTTTTCCATCTTGTATGTTATATAAAGTAATGACAGTTATAGAGGCCAAAATGTTACCCTTAATCATGCACATGCAATTTATTACACCAATTTACTACCCATAGAAGAATTGCAAAGAAGTCATTTTCAAAAGATCCCATAAACTAGTAGATTACAGAGGGAAATGGGCAACTGAAACAAGCTTAAAGCAGCCATTCTCCCAAAACTGCTCTCGCTCTGGACAAAATACAGTAGAAAAACATAGTGAAATAACTCTTATTTTTTAAAGATGTAAGTATGTAGCCTTAAAACATGGTTGAGTGAAATAATCAGTTTTGTCAGCTACTGAAATATATATATATAAAGTAATAGTTTCCCCCCACCATAAAACGAACCAGAAATTATCTTCTTGTAAATGTATTTTCAGATTAACATCTTTTGTATTATCAGCTAGAAGCTTTTCAGCAATTTTCTACTCTATATTTTAATATTTAACATTGTTACAGATACAAAACAGTCTTTAAGCAGACTTCCTGTGTTCTTTATATAGAACATAATAAAACTACTTATTTACAATGGATGTAGAGCTTTGCAAGTCTCCCCATTGCATTTGCTTTCCTTGTAATCAACAGATATCAGCAAGAAATCTTTTATTATTAGCAAAAACCAGTTTGCTACTGTTATTCTTGTGGTCAACAAGTTCTAACCTGTTCACTTTATGAGACAGAGCTAAATGCACATCTTACCAGCTATTTGTGATGGGTTGACCCTGGCTGTAGGCGAGGTACCCCCCAAAGCCGCTCTATCACTGCCGTTCTCAGTGGGGCAGGGGAGAGAAAATTTAATGAAAGGCTCATGGGTCGAGATAAGGACAGAGAGAAATCACTCACCAATTACCAGCACCCGCAAAACAGACTCAACTTGGGGAAACTGATTTATTACCAATCAAATCAGAGTAGGATAATGAGAAATAAAACCAAATCTTAGAAACCACTGAACTTCACTCCCGATTTCTCTGCCATCTTGGAGCTTGCTGGCATTGGCTCTATTGGACATGGGGAAAGCTTCTAGCAGCTTCTCACAGAAGCCACCACTGTAGCCCCCCTGCTACCAAAACCTTGCCATGCAAACCCAATAAACTATTTCACAATTACCTGACAAAGCGTGGAGACCTTTTTATGGCCTAAGAGCCAAAAAAAAAAAAAAGACTATATTTTCTTCTTTCTTTAATATGCTTATTATAACTGCTGTAAGAGTTGAAAGCTTCTAAATATGAGCTACCTGATAGAGAAATAGTGCAATCAGGCAATTGAACCCTTTGTCTGACATACATCTTTTATTTAAACTGAATCAAGACAAATAGGAAACAAAAGATAAATGGTGTCACACCATGTCCCAGGTCCCGAACTAATAGAAGACAGGACCCAGAACTAGTCCTCTGGTTTGAATTTTTTAAACTTTAATTTCAAAGTTGAAAGGCAGATCACTACTGAAGAAGTATCACAAGATCCATGTTACAACTTACGCAGGGATTCTATCAAAAAAGTTCACGTCCATTCTGCATTATGCTCCTAATCTCTACTTCAGTTGAAGAGGGGAAAAGAAAAAAACACCGGCCGAAAACCCTATTAGCTATGACTGACAGTTCTTCCGAGATTATTTTACAAAGACGAAAAACAGAACAGCTGTGAACACATTAAACACTGGATATTGGAAAGAAAGAAGGTCACACAGTGGTCCTTACCATTAGACACAGATAGAGAAGGTGAAGATGAAAACGACTGGTAATGTTGATTTTTCTTTATCAGAACCCAAGAAGCAAGCTACCAGTTGCCTGGCTTCAGTTCAATCTGTCAGCCAGTGACAAGTGAACGGACAGTAAAATTGCTACCACTTGAGCACAGAGGAGATCCATCAATTTCCTTGTACAAGAGGAACATTATGCCAGATACTGTAAATCCTTATTATATTGGGCATCTTCAGAACTGTAAGACCAAAAGCAAACACTTGCCTCAAGGAGTTACCTACAAGTGAGGTCATCTCAGTTTGGACAGAGAAGTGTAAACCCTGAACTCATTATCTACCCTTCAGCACTTAAGATCTTACGGGCACCTAAGTTTTTATCAGTGGAGTTCTAGAGTCGTATCAGGTTACGCTTCTGAGCCTGCCCCAAACTGTTCCCATATTGCCAGAGATGGATGGCTTAACTTCTATTCCATATCCGAACCCAGTCAGAATGCCTGGACTAAGCAACCTTATCCCTAAGTTTTATCCCTGGTTGACTTAGTTCAGATCCAGTGTTCATCAACACTCTCATGAAAAAGGGCTGTGGTCACCGATTTAATTCAGAAAAATACCCTTTTGTAAAAATATTCTGGAGGAGTACCATTCACTAATTTAACTTCAATGCTGCTCAGGAAGACTACAAATCTATCTACCATGACTTCTCTACCCACCAAGCAGAGAGGCCTGGAATACCTGTGCAGCAGGAGTGAAGAACAGACATGGAGGACTCATTAAGCCAGACAGAATTTATCAGCACATATGAAAATGGAGCATTATCACACAGCTCAATGATGAAGGCACTCCCCTGGATTCCAGTCCTTCAGAAAAAAATACCAGGGAGCAGAATTAATACATCCATTTCCCAAATGACTGCTTAAATACTTCATTACACCTCTGCTATTGCAAACTCCATTTCTAGGTACTTAAAGTTGCAGCTTACACTATTGTTACCAGCTGCCTACCAGTAAAGCACAGGAGTGCTAATTGCATTTTCGTACCACTCCCTTTATGCACCCAGCTCTCAGTCTTCTCATGCCTTCATCTGCTACTGACAACTACCTTCTTGTTTGGAATGGAAGTGACTACCTTTTCAGCTGACAGATGTCCGTTCAGATGATAGACGTCCTGTCAAGAGCCAGGTCAGCTCAGGTCCCTCCAAAACAGAGACAATAGTACCTTCCCACTTCATAAGGGTGTTCTCAGACTTAAATAGACAGCTATAGATATAGATATACACACACGCATATAAAAATAGAAAAGGCAGAAATTCTTCACCAGAAAAAAAAAGCATTTAACTTTCTGAAAACATTAAGAATTAAAAAAAAATAAAAAAATAAAAAGCCTGAGAGCTTCTTGATTACATTACAAAGACACTGAGGTAAATCAGTTTATTAAATTAGAACAAATAATGGGGACATCACTAAATCTGGTGATATTAGGACAGTCTTTGTCAAATTTTATAAACAACTTGATTAATCTCAATTTGAA